TCGCTAAAGTCTAATGTTTAAAATAAAATTTTATTAATAAAAATAAATTGAGTTCACTAATGAAAAACATATTTTTCCTTTAAGCAAATAATATTTGAGCAATCAGATCTATAGATATGTATATGGGTTTCTATTTCACTGCTTGGTTTATTATAGATCACTTTGGGAGGAAAGAAATTCCACCGACTCTCCGAATATATTTAATACTGTTTATAGCTTATCAATCATATCCCATTCATTATTAAAGAGTTTTAAATATTGCTTTTTATTTTATTTAGAACATTATTTATAGGAATTTGGTTACACTGCAAAATTTCAGGCATAATTAATATGCTGTGGTGATAGGGGGTAGAGAAATTTAATTTTCAAGTTTTTATATTAATTAGATTGTTAGTTCATTCCATTTCTATTATGGGCCTCATCAGACATTTAAAATATTCAAGGTATGGATCAGAATCATTCAAGATAATATGACCTGTTTCATAAATTGACTGCAGACATTTACGATTTTCAGCCTCAATTTCACATTCTAAAACAGCTACTCGATTTCTGAAGGCTAAAATATTCTCTAATTTTTTTAAATAAAATATTAATTCTGGCAACTTTTTTTATGCCACCAACTATAACCAAATTATGTACGCCCTTGATGCTCATTTTCTCCCAATCTGACCCTTCTTTTGACATTGGCCTGAACATTCCATTTGTATTATTTTGGCTTTTAAACGGAACTCCTCTTTAATCTATCAATCTCAGTTAATATGGTATCCCCGGTATCATTTTGTTTCAAATTTCTAGTTTCCAGGGTAAAATAATTATTAATAATTTAATATATATCAGGGTAAAATAATTATTAATAATTTAATATATATATATATATATAAAATTAAACAGCATTCTAAAAATTATACATTCTTTTTCACTTGTCAACAATGAATGTTTAGACTCATCTCATTCCACTGAAGAGACATGTAAAGGATTTTGAATTGGAAAGTCAGGGCTGGCAGTGAGTCACCTAACCAAATGCTATATCTCCAATTCGTTATAAAGGTAGGATTATTCTTAGCATTATGTTGGAAGTCCTAAACCACGAAATTCTTAGGATTTTTAAACACCATTCTTGATATCTTTGTTGTATGAAAATAGGAATAGTGACAGCCGTTTTATTTTTTATTCGGAGAGTATGAGAATGCTATGCTTGTGACTCTTGCAACTTGTTTCCCTGGGGAACGACCAATTCAGAATAAACCTTTTTCTTTAGAGTTTTGCCACCTGAGTCTTACAAGTGTGCTGACGTAGAGGGTGTGAGAGGCAAGAAATAGTTTAGTTACAGAATTGGGATGCGAACTTCCAAATATATTAACTGTTATGTGGGTCGTTTTTTTGTGTTAATTTGTGAATTCATTCGTTTAATTATCTTTCAATCTGACGATGCCTGATTTTTTAAAGAGCTTCCTAGACAAATTTTGATATAATTAATATAATAATTATGCATAATATATATTCCAAAGATTTCATTTAAAATATATATATATATATTATGTTCGTTATAGAAAATGGAGAACAGATTGGGAGCCAATCCCAGCCCAGCACCACTATTCAATCCATTGCCTCCATGCACTTCTTCAGTTCCATCGATTGGAAACTGGTAACATAAATATCTCTAAATGTAAATAGAATTTCTTACAGTTACTTTTATTTTTGCATCACACATTTCTGGAGGATTTTAAAAAAAACATAATATTTTATTTTGCATTATAATCTCGAAGCCAGAAGAGTCAAATCTATATACAAACCAAAACTAACTCACGACCGTGAAGGAGTTATGCTTTCACCCTAAGATAGCCGTTTTATACACCATATTACTAGAAATCTCGAGTAAATCTATATTGAGAAGAATTCAGTATTGAAGTTATAAAAAATTGTTTTTTAAATCATCCAGAAACATTTTTACAATGGATAGAACTGAAGAAGCGCATGGAGGCAATGGATAGGATGGTGGTGCGAGGATTAGCTCCCAATCTGTTCTCCATTTTCTATAATAAATATAATATATTTATATTATAAAAAATGTATCATCTTTGAAATAAATTTATGCATAATTATTATATTCATTATATCTAACTTTGGCTAGTGAATGAATAAAAAATTTTATTCTACAATTATTATAATAAAAAATATCAAAAATATTAGCAAACCATAATATCTGGGTGGAATACGAATTATGTAATTTTTCATTTTTTTCTGAAATCAGATCTAAATCCATGATATTAATTCTAACCTAAAAATGACAATTCTTATTAATGTGCACCATTTAAGTCAACACTGTTATCAATGTCATTAGCTGAAATAGAAAATATGGTTGACAAATTGTCTTTTAAAGTTCTATGCATGCACACCTGTGAATGCATTTTAGAAAAATCTTCAGTTAATTATATGAATATCTGATGAAAATACATTTGTAAATATACTACAATCAATATATTGAAAAATAATAAAAATATTAGGATTTTATATTATAATTTCTGATGAAAAATCATTTGAACATACTATAATCATTATAATAAAAAAAAATATTAATATATTGTTAAAATTTCTGCTGAATAATCAGAAAAAAATGTTAAAATATTAGAATTTTATATTATAATTTCTGATAAAAAAAGATAAAACTAAAAGCATTATAATTAAAAAATAGAAATTATTATTTTGTAATAGAAATTTACTTTTTTTAAGTAATTTCTAATAATGGATAATAGAGTTCATCTTTTGTTTTATCTGAGATTTAATAATATAAAGTATAAAGGTTGGTTATTAATTTAAATAAGACCTTATAAATTTAAAACAATATTTTTTTATAGCATTGTTAGGGAAAAATGCCATGGTTCGTATATCAGTTTACATATCTGACGAGGCTTGCCATGTTTTAAAGAGATTTCTAGCCAAAGTTTGATATATTGAATATAATAATTATGCATAATATATATTATAAAGATGATAATTTTTTATAATATAAATATATTATATTCATTATAGAAAAAGAAGAATAGATTGGGATCCAATCCCAGCTCCACCATCCAATCCATTGCCTCCCTGCGCTTCTTCAGTTCCATCTATTGGAAACTGATAACATATATATCTCTAAGCTTTTATAAATAGAATTTCTTTTACAGTTACTTTTATTTTTGCATCACACATTTCTGGAGGATTTAAAAAAAACATAATATTTTATTTTGCTTTATAATCTCGAAGCCAGAAGAGACAAACCCATATACAAATCAACACTAACTCACGACCGTGAAGGAGTTATGCTTCCACCCTAAGATAGGCGCTTTATACACCATAGTTAGACCAGTTACTAGGAAACTCGAGTAAATCTATATTGAGAAGAATTTGTCAGTATTGAAGATATAAAAATTTGTTTTTTAAATCCTCCAGAAATGTGAGATGCAAAAGTAAAAGTAATTGCAAAAGAAATTCTATTTAAAAAAGTTACAGATATTTATGTTACCAGTTTTCAATTGATAAAACTGTAGAAGGGCATGGAGGCAATGGATTGAATAGTGGTGCTGGGATTGGCTCCCAATCTGTTCATCATTTTCTATAATGAATATAATATATTTATATTTTAAAAAATGTATCAACTTTGAAATATATATTATGCATAATTATTGTATTCATTATATCAAACTTTGGCTAAAAAACTCTTTAAAACATGACAAGCATCGTCAGATATATAATCTGGTATACGAACCACAGCCTTTTTCCCTAAAAATGATATCATAAAAAAGTATTGTTTTAAATTATATAACTAATAAAAATGATAAATTCGATAAAATTTATAAGGTTATATTTAAATTAAGGTCAAACACAGGGTTGCCGGGTCTCTCCTTATCATCCCTTAGATAAAACTCCCCCCATTCAAAATCATCTGCGATTATTAAATTCCTTTTAAAATTCTGACCTTGTTAAACTGGTCAAACAATATCTTATTATAAAGCTCTTCCATTGTTTTTATAGCATCAACTTTATAAGATTTTAAAATGTATTAATTTTGTTTCATTTTTTATGCACTCGGCTAGACATAAATGAATAGCTGATCGAGTTGATAAAATCTTTTAAAATGAGAACCATTTCTTTAAATTAATATTAATTAAATTCAGTCTTACTCTCTCCGTATTTTGCATTATATGCACTCATGTCATCTAATATTTAGTAGACTAGTAAAAGATTTGTTTTCGTTATTTTTAAAAAATAAATTGAAAAAATATTTTCAGCATAAAACAAACTTATCCCTTCTCTTTTAATCTTCAAATCGAAAGGGCTTTTACCATTTAGCCTTTCATATATAGTTATAAAGAAAGACCATATATCTGCTCTAAAATCTTTCATGTTTTAATTATTTAAATATATAAAATACATTGTGATCATTTCGAAAGTGTTTGGTTAAGCTCTATGCTAAATATTTTTCATTTATAGCTCTTTTTCTAAAATTTTTAAATATTGGCTAAACACCCTCCCCCTCAATTTTCTATGATATTTTTTTGTGTTAAATTTGAATTCCTTTATTATTGTTATAAAAATTAAAAATTTAATAGTCACAAATCTTTCATAATCTTTTTTATGGCCACAAAGAAGATAGAGAAGCAAAATAATTTTCAAACAAATAGTTTTGAATTTATATCCCCATTCTTCCTAACTTTAAGAATTGATGGGTAATAATCATCCATGACTCCCATCTCAAATATTTGGGATAAAACTACTTTGGCCATTATTTCTATCGATGTGGAGGTTAAGGCGAATATTGCTTGAGACATATATCTACCTCATAAATGTAATGGGTGTGGAAGCACTACCGTATTGCAGAGCAATTAACAGTGTTATTAAGAATAACAAAAAAATTTATACACGCAACTACTATGTTAAATATGTTACATTATTTGTAAAGTAAAAAAAAAATCCTTAAGATATTTATTGAGATAAGGAGAAAAATATTTGAAAAATATTTACCATCCATCCACCAAGATTTTAGGGGCTAAATAGGACATGTTACCACATTTGCCTTTGATTTTCTTCCCGCAGCTTAAACCTTTCTAGATTAAGTAGTTTTCATAAATTAAATAAATATAAAAGTAAGAAAAGAGAGCCCTTATAAAAAATATAACATAGGCTATCACAGAAATATTAGAATTTCTTTATTTCGATGTCAGCAAGATGCAAAAACTAGACCTAGAATACTATTATATTAAATAGCTCAATAATTTAGTTTTTATTTTACAAAATTCAAAAAGTTAAATATTTTCTTTATATTTGTTTGAAACTATAAATAGTTGTAATGTAAAAAAAATATATTACTTTGGACAATCCGAAATCTGTGATTCGCCAAATGACTACCTCTAGCTTCACGTTCTCAGGTTTAAGGTCTCTATCTACTATTCCTGAAATATCAAAAAAATATAATAAGCAAATTTGTATTTACTAGAAAACAACATTTTATTCGTTAAATAAAAAAAAACTGATTTAAATCAAGGAGCCAATTTATATAAAATGGCAATTCACAATTTGTATTTATAATGTATGTTCAGAAAATGTAAAACCTTTGGAATGAAGTTCTTTTTTCCTAGACATCCAAAATTGACATTGAAGTCCCCATCTATTAGTAGATAATAACATCTTGAGTGTTTTAAAAATGATATCCATTTATAAACGCTTAAATAAAAGTTGTATATAAAGTTAATATTATTATTTTTTTTAAAATTATTTTCTAAATATATTTCATTTAATTAACAAATTAGAACATTCTTTTGAAATTAGTATAAAATGATTTTAAAAAAAACGAATGGTTCAAAATCCTGAACGTTTCTTTATTAGACCTTCATATATTTTTTTAATTCACAGATTTATACACTTAAAATTTAAATATCTGTTTCGGTTTCTTTCTTTAAAAGAATGATGAAAGATATAAAGTAGGAGCCTAAGAAAAATATTCAGAAAAGCAAGCTAGGCTTTGATATATATTTTTTTCTAAATATGAGCTAGTTTCTATTTACATATGTTAAAATTATTCGGATCACCTATATTATATATATATCACCCAGGAGAATTTGTTGTCATTCAAACTTGCTCTAGGTCTTAATTACCATTAATATTGTCAATATTTTATTATATGATAAAATGTAGATCATTGTGACATTTAAAATTAAAATTAAGTCTGAACAACTTTTATAGGAAAATTTATTAGCCAAAATTATTTTTGGTATGTTAAAATTAAATTTTTTATTTAAAATTTTTCATATCCGAAATATTTTTAGACTTAAGGACCTTATTAAAATAGATATTTGGCTTATTATAATCTCTAAGTTTATTAAATCATTTGATAGGGATATACTCGTCCTGAGAACACACTATCCCCATTTTTTGAGATTTAATTTTTCTTTAAATTAGTTAAATTTTTGTCACTGTTTTGCAGATTGATTCAAAGAGAATTCGAAAATGAACAGTCTATAAATATTAAAAAAACCTCCATTGTAGGATTTTTTCCTAACATTTTCAAAAATTGATTAATTGACATGATTTTAATTTATTTTAAAAGCGGCTAGATAATTTTTATATTTTTTCACTTTTTATACCCGGGCCAAAATCTTTAATCCTAACTTGGATTTTTTAATAACGTTACAATTTTTATCCAAGTCCAGACGCATCTGCAGATCTTTGATATATATATTTATTTTTTTTGAAAGAAACTCATAAAAAATGTCTAGGTGAACCATGCAGATAATTATCTTCTTATGTGGTGATTGGGAATTTCACCTATATCTCCTCGAAAATTTTCAAAGTAAATCTGAAATAAATATTAATAGATTACTCTATAAAATTTTAATACACGCCACAAATTATTTCAATTCTTATAAATAATGTTATTGCAAATTGCCCATAAATTGTTTATTATTATTTTAATTTAGAGTCAAAATGGAAATATACACTACATATATTTTCAACATAAATAGAATACCTACTATCTTTATTTACTCGTTAGCTTACTATATATTTTTATTCTAACAATTTTTAGCACCAACTATAATAGCATCTCAAATATTATTCCCTGTGAGACTATATGCCAACGAGTCTTAATCTTTGTGAAACAGAGTGAGAGCGTAAAAGTAGCTCTCTAGGGTTTTTAATTCGTATCATTAATTACATTATATTCAAATTAATAAGAAAAATATTATCTTAATATTTTATTATAAATATTAGTGTATATATTAATAAAATGCATTATTATAATATATCATTATATAACGTGATATCATTAGATAATAAATTTGTCATAATCATTATGGATTCTAATAAAAATAAAGTCTTCTAACATCCGAAAGGCTAATGAATATTAAAAAATATCATAAATATTAGCAATTATATATTAATTTTTGAAAAAAACATTAATTAAAATCATTATAATTGAAAAAATATCACATTAGTTGCTTTTTTATAAATACAATTGCAGATGAAAAACATTAAATATAACGTCATTATAATGAAAAATATAAATATTAATTAATTTCTGTATAAATAATTTGGACATACAAATCATTATAATAAAAAAACATTAAAATGGTTTATATAAATATGATTTGTAATATAAAACATTTGTATAAAACAAAAATCATTATAATTGAAAAAAATATGAAAATATTAGTTTTGCAATCATTTGTTCATGAATCATTTTAAGAAAATAAAAATATTAGCATTATGCATTATAATTTCTGAAGAAAAAAAATTCCAAAATCATTATAATTAATTAATATTTTGTATACAATTAATTGATTAAAAATGTTTATCATTAGTTTCATTGGCTAATGCTACCACCATCCCACAGTGCATCCAATCCTTAGATGCTGCTTTTACCAGAAATCTCGGAATTCAGACTTTATCGCTATAAATGATTTAATAAGATAAAATATAAGGTCATAAGTGGGCATGTGTTTGATGGTCTTACTAATTAAATGAAGAATTTTTTTTACTAATTCAAAATTATAAATAAATGACTATAAATCCTTTTTATATATCACATCTCTAATATCTGCATATAATAAGATTATTTTTGAATATTTTAAATTGTTCATTATGACAGGTCGTGAATGAGGACCAGGGTCTTGACCGTGATAGATTAGCTAGATTTAAAGACTAATTTTAATCAAATTAATTTAATATGAAGAATATGTATCCCAAACATTAATATATATAATTAAATTATAATCTAGGCTTTATCTTATAGTTTTTTAATTAGAACATTTTGAGTGTACGTCGTTTTTGTTTTGGCCAGCACTGTTCATTACAATTTATCACTAATGTATTAATATACTTATCGAAATTTAAAATGAATTATTTATATTTGAACCCGAAGCCAATTGATATTCATTATGTTTGTGGTAATTTCTTATTATATGCAGATATTAGAGATGTGATATATAAAAAGGATTTATAGTCATTTATTTATAATTTTGAATTAGTAAAAAAAAATTTTCATATAATTAAGATCATCAAACACATGCCCACTTATGACCTTTATATTTTATCTTATTAAATTTTTTATAGCGATAAAGTCTGAATTCCGAGTTTTCTGATAAAAGCAGCTTCTAAGGATTGGATGCACCATGGGATGGTGGTAGCATTAGCCAATGAAACTAATGATAAACATTATTAATCTTCAATTGTATACAAAATATTAATTAATTATAATGATTTTGGAAATTTTTTTCTTCAGAAATTATAATGCATAATGCTAATATTTTTATTTTCTTATAATGATTCATGAACAAATGATTGCAAAACTAATATTTTCATATTTTTTTCAATTATAATGATTTTTGTTTTATACAAATGTTTTATATTACAAATCATATTTAAATAAACCATTTTTATGTTTTTTTTAATATAATGATTTGTATGTACAAATTATTTACAGAAATTAATTAATATTTATATTTTTCATTATAATGACGTTATATTTAATGTTTTTCATCTTCAATTGTATTTATAAAAAGCAACTAATGTGATATTTTTTCAATTATAATGATTTTAATTAATGTTTTTCAAAAATTAATATATAATTGCTGATATTTATGATATTTTTTAATAATGATTAGCCTTTCGGATGTTAGAAGACTTTATTTTTATTAGAATCCATAATGATTATAACAAATTTATTATCTAATGATATCACGTTATATAATGATATATTATAATAATGCATTTTATTAATATATACACTCATATTTATAATAAAATATTAATGCGTTGATAATATTTTTCTTATTAATTCGAATATAATGTAATTAATGATACAAATTAAAAACCCTAGAGAGCTACGTATACGCTCTCACTCTGTTTCACAAAGAGGAAAACTCGTTGGCATATAGTCTCACAGGGGAAATATTTGAGATGCTATTATAGTTGGTGTTAAAAATTGTTAGAATAAAAATATATAGTAAGCTATCGAGTTAATAAAAATAAAAGGTATTTTATTTATGTTGAAAATATATATTTCCATTTTGACTCTAAATTAAATAATAAAATCATGTCAATTGATCAGTTTTTGAATATGTTATGAGGTCTGCTCTCCATTTTCTATAATGAATATAATATATTTATATTTTAAAATATGTTAGGCATAATTTTTATATTCATTATATTAAACTTTGGCTAGAAATCTTTATTTTTTTTTTGGTATAATTTTTTTTAGTATATATAAATGGAATTAACAGCTTATCGAGTTGATAAAATCTTTTAAAATGAAACCATTTCCTTAAATTAATATTTCAGTCTTAATATCCTTTTTGTATTATTTTTTGCATTATATTCACTAATGTCTTCTAGTATTTAATAGACTAGTAAAAGGTCTGTTTCCATTATTTATAAAAAATTAATTTAAAAAAATATTTTGTTTATAAAACAATCATATACCCTGCCAAGGATTTCTTCTAAGCTTCATATCGAAAGGCCTTTCACCAGTTAGCATTTCAAACATGGTTACGCCAAGAGCCCATATGTCCTCTCTAAAATCTTTAATGTTTTTAATTATTTAAATATATCGTGAGTATTTTGAACATGGTTAGGAGATCATAGATGTTTTGGGTACAATTATTTTTTCTAACCTGATTAAGTTCAATATATTAACCCTATATGGATAAAAATGAATCGCATAGTATAAGTCATTTAAAATAATAATTATTTTGTAAGTTAAACATCATTTTTAAAATAAATTTATCTGAAGAAAAATTATTTTTTGGACAAATGCACCATCTGGGGAATTGCAAGATGGTTTAAGGGGAGTTTATGCTCCCGCAAATTTACTTTGATTATTAACTCCCTTTTCAAAAGTTTTAAATTTGTATCCTTAATTATTGTTATAAAAATTAAAAATTTTATTAGTCAAAAAATTTTTCGTATAAGTTTTTATAGCCACAGAGAAATTTGATAAGCAAAAAAAATTTATTTTTAATATTTCAATTTTCAAATATAATATATAAAGGTTCATTACTAAAATGTAGTTAGGATTTAAATGATTTTGAGTCAAGTCTAAAAAAGGCTGAACCGAATTTTTAACCGATAAACTATCATCTTAATCTTAGTCGAGGCTTAAAATTAAAGGATAGCTTAATCTAGAAAATAAATATACTCAAGCCTCAAGGCTTAGTGATTGTTTGCTGCTAGAATTTAACTGACTTAACAAAATTAGAAGAAAGGAATAGTCTAATTTATCAAAATCTTTTTAATGTTTAAATAGGAATTTAAAGTTTTCAAATTAGTTAGTTGTTTAGGATAAATCATTTTACTTTGAAAAAAAAATAATAAAATTTGTATATCTTTTTATCAGGTCCTACAATGAACCATCCATTTTTTAGGGATACGTTAACAAGTAAAATATAATGTAGGCAAGGTCTACATAAGCCCCTCAAAAATTAATTTACCACTACCACTTTAAAACTTCGATCCATCCATTATGTTCCAACAACCCTACAATATTAGTTTAAAATTTTTATAAAAAATCCACCATATCCAGAAAAATTCTATAAAAACTCTTTCAGTCGTGGTTATTTAGGCCAAAGAATGACTAATAATCATTTAGGCGTGTAACCAAGTTGGGGGTTAGGATCCCCCCCCCATCTTTAATTTATCTGTTCTCATATATTATCTTTTAAGCGAATAAATATTTTCTTCCTACACATCCCCCATCCCACCCCCTTTTAAAAATAGGTACACAATATGTAACTATAAGGAAGATATTGAAAAAAATTGGTGTGCTAATCTTGAAGAGTTACTATATGGAAGTTAGGATGACATTTATATGTTTGTCTGAGATGTATATCTATTTCATAAATGTAAAAGGTGTGAGAGTTCTATCTTAAATCTAGCCATGGCCTAGTTTCCTCAGATTTGGGAGCAGCGAAAATTAATAAAAAAAAATTAGCATGGAGCTTGGTCAAACATGTTCAAAATGATAACAATATATTTTATATATTTAAATAATTAAAAACATGAAAGATTTTAGAGTGGACATATGGGCTCTTGGTGTAACCATGTATGAAGTGCTAACTGGTCAAAGGTCTTTCGATTTGTCTCTGAAGAGAAATCATTGGCAAGGTATAATTTTGTTTTATATTGAAAATAATGGAAACAAACCTATTACCAGTCTACTAAATACCCGAAGACATTAGTGCATATAGTGCAAAATATATTACAAAAGAGTTAGTAAGACCGAAATTATAAATTAGTATTAATGTAAAGAAATGAATCCCATTTTAAAAAGATTTTACTCTATCAGCTGGTAAGTCCATTTATGTCTACTTAAACAAATTTAGCCGACATAAAAAAAATGAAATCTTATAGATCATTTTAAAATCATAAAAGGTTGATGCCATAAAAATCAATGCAAGGGCTTATAAATATGACATTGTTTGACCAAGGTTTTATAGTCAAAATTTTTTTAAACTGCAGTAGAAATTTGGAAAAATGTTTTTGTTTTTGAGGAAGGAATTTTATAAATGCAGAAGATTTCCAAAATTTACACCTTACCAAAGATTTCTTTTCAGAGTACAAAGGTCTTCTTCCGGTAAGCATTTCATACATTGTTATGCCAAGAGCTCAGATATCTGCCCAAAAATCTTTCATGTAATTTAATTATATATATTACATTACGATCATTTTGAACACGTTTGGTTAAACTCTATGTTCACATTCTTTTAATTTTCTATCTACCAATTTTGAGGAGTGGCTGAACCACAATAATAATTTTAAATATATTTTTCAAAAGTGTTAATTCAAATCCCTTTACTATTTGTTATAAAAATAAAAAATTTTAATAGTCAAAAATCTTTTTCATAATTTTTATATAGACACATAGAAGATATAGAAGAAAAATGTTTTAAGGCATCAAACAAATAATTTAGTATATATATCCTACTCTTCCTAACTTATAATATTCCATATGACTCCCATCTCAGATATTTGGGATAAAGGTACCTTGGCCATTAATGGGTAAAAGTGGTTCCAAATACAAATCTTATTCAGTTTCTATCAGATGAGGAGGTTACGGTGAATAATAACTTATAGAATGGTCCGAGATATATATCTATCTCATAAAAGTAATGGGTGTAGAAGTCCTAACTTAAATCTTGACATGGCCAATTTTGTGATGTAGAATAAATTCAAGTTGGACAAATATTAATTTAATCATCCCTCTCTTATTACAAAAAATTCATCGCATTATAAATATCCCTTGGTTTAGATAGAAACATCTCAAATATGGCTTCCAGTTTTCTTCTAATCTAAACATTGATTCTATTAATAAAAACCGAAAAGTTGAAAATCAGAAAATATCACATTTCAAAATCTTATCTCAACCAATGAGTCCTTAGGTCTCCTAGTCTTTTTTCATTTCAGATCACGTGGATATTAAGAATCGTCTTTAAAGACTTCTCAAAGGCCAAATTGCTCTTTTAAAATGATCTAAGTATTTTGGGACTTCTTCTTAACCCGTTTTATTTATTTTAAAAATCATTCTGTATTTATTTTTATAAATATTTTACATGTTATTTCTAATATTATTTTTATAAAATAAATAAAATAATTTAATCTCAATTAATTTTTGTTGTAATATAAATATAATAAGCAAGCAATGATTAAGAAATTAAAACCTAATTTAAGGATTTTTAGAAATTCTTGTGATAAATTATAAAATTATTTAATAATTATATGATTTAAATAAAAAATAATATTTTTTAGATTAAAAACAGATTATTTTACAATTATATTTGTATATTTTTTAAAAAATATATAGATATATAATATTTAATGAGACTAATATTCTTAGAGAATAATCATCAAAACAAGCCTCGCGTTTTATAAATGCCATTTAAACACATACCATAATGCTCTATTATTTTTAGTAATTGTCATGATTAATTATAGAATTTAAACTTTCCTTAAATCTATTGATGCAATTTACTATAACAGCGTTAAATTTCCACTCTTATATATATAAATATCTTGGAAATAGATAATAGACCTAACATGTCTTTCTATTCAAAATGCTCCAATTTCCTCTATTTCATTAAAAAGGAAAGTAAACATAAGGAACAATGTTATTAAGAGTAACAAAAATTTTTATAAACCAATTTACTATGTTAAATATTGCACATTATTTGTAAAAGTAAAAAAAAAAGTAAACATAAGGAACAATGTGAATAACAAAAAATTTTATAAACCAATTTACTATGTTAAATATTGTACATTATTTGTAAAAGTAAAAAAAAAAGTAAACATAAAGAACAATGTTATTAAGAATAACAAAAAATTTTATAAACCAATTTACTATGTTAAATATTGTACATTATTTGTAAAAGTAAAAAAAAAACATAGGAAAATTTTTATTGATATAAGAAGAGAAATAATTAGAAAATATTTACCATAGCTTCCACCCCGCAAGATTTCGGTGGCTAAATATGCCCGGGTACCACACCTGCCTTTGATTTTCTTGCCGCAGCTTAAACCTGGATTAAGTAATTTTCATAAATTAAATATGTAAAAGTTAGATAAAGAGAGCCCTATTAAAGGTACAAATAAATTAAAAACTAAATATAACATGAATGACAACAGAAACATGTATGGCACAATAATTTATCTACTTCTATGCCGGTAAGAAGTAACAAATCTCCGATAAAACGACTCTATATAAAACTAGACATAGAGTACCTTTATATGAAATAGCTCATTAATTTAGTTTGATTATAAACTTCAAAAAATTGAATTTTGATGTTTATATTTGTAGAAACATTTCATTGTTGCAATATGAATCTTGTAAAAAAAAGATGTTACTTTGCCAAGACCGAAATCGGCTATACGTATATGACCCTCTTGGTCAATCTTTATGTTTCCAGGTTTGAGATCTCGATGCACAATTCCTGAAATATATTTTTAAAAAATACAAATTAAATCGGTATTTAATAGAAAACAACATTTTTATTCGCAAATAAAAAAAAAACTGATCTAAATCATGAAGCCAATTTATATAAAATGGCAATATAAAAGTTGTATTTATAATAATAGAACCTCTAGAATGTAGGAATGTTAAACCCAGGAGTAGCTCGGCTACATAGAACCTTACATGATTTTCAGGAATCTTGTCTAACTTTTTGATAAGGCTTCGCAAATCACCCCCATTTACAAAGTCCATTGCTATGATCATACTACAATATTACATTCATTTTTGAGAAACATTGTATTATTTTTATATAAACTAATCAAAAGGTCTTATCATTTTTTTCCCCTAATTCGCAAAAGTAAATATACTTTTCGGACGTTGTAAAGGTTGCATGATAGCCAACCAGAAATGGCTGATTCCTCGCGATTTTTAATATCATTCTCTCATTTTCGAATAACGTCTTAACAAATATATGGTTGAATTTAAATAAATCAACAGCTTTTTACATGAAAATTTTATCGACTCGGCCTTAAATGTCATTATATTATATATATATTTATATATGAGGTATCATTGTTTTAATACTGTCAAAGATATAATGATAATAAAATTTAATCATTATATATATGGCTTTCTTTTTGAAAGTTATTTTGCTTTATAAATAGATTTTTTTTGTTGATGTTTTAACATCCCTATACATTATTCACTATAGCTTCAACAGAAAGAATGAATATATTAAACAAATATAAACCTTGCACAGGTTTAAGTCCATCATTTTCAAAGCATAGAGATTTTTAGTATGTTTTTGTTCAGCTAAGACCACTTCGCCAAATGATCCCCTGCCTAATACTTTAATTATTTCGTAATCTGACAGTTTCTTCTTTTTCCTTTTCCTAAAATAAGATTATTTTTATATAAAGCTTGCATAATTATAAATTTCATTTATTTATTTCTTTCTTCCTTGCTTCCTTCCTTCCTTCCTTGATTTACTTGTCATCGTCTTGACTAGAGTCTAGTGGAACATTTACACAATCATCTTTAGATTTATCGACAATATCTAACACACTCCCACGCATACTTTCATCCCCACGACGAAGTGGTACGTCTTCCCTGGTATAACCTTTCCCAAACTTCTGTTTCCAACCGCGCTTTGTGCAGAGGAACCAATCAATTACTTTCTCCAATCACTTTCCTCTTTCCTTTTCTAAAATTATATAATAAAATATAAACATCGATATAATAAAACTTTACTCCGCTGCACGCGGTTGTTTCTTTTCGTTTCATCCTTATCTTTTTTGAAAAATGTAAATAGAATCATATATTTAGAAAATTTTTTATAATGACGATGATGATTGTTGTTCTAATTAGATATTTAAAAATACGCAATAAATTATTAAAATAAATAATAAGCAAAATCAATTCTCGAATGCATGATACGTATTAGTTCGCTTATAAGATCATCTTCCATATGAAGAGTTATCGTAAAAACTTGTAGAACTTTTCATACTATACTCGAAATAAAAGGATCCAAACCAAAGCTTAATACGATATTAACTCTTATTATTTCATGAACCTAAACTGTACTTTTAACGGTTCAAAATGATGTCACTTGAATCTAGTCTCAAAAGGTCTTTATACCTATTTGTACCACTTTTTGATATCTTTGTTTAAAATATTAAGCAGTCAATTTTGATTGGTAAGTATGAGTGATCATTTTAAATTTTTATATTATGATCTTGGCTTTACTACCTAATCCTGCAATTTAGGTCAATATTAATAGACATTAAAAGAGAATTTTGAATTTAGGTATTACATAAGTGAACATTTAGAAAAATAAGGTTAAATATCCGGGCTTAATGACCCATGTACAGATAGATGCAGTTTCGCAAGTAAAAGCCCTCTTTTGGGTCAACTGTGAATGAACGTAACCCTTTTTGAATAATGGTAGGGCTTGGGCAGAGTTGTTAAAAGATACTTTTTAAATAAATCTAGATACAAATACATCGTCTATAATAATATCTAGATACAGATATTTTAATCAAAAATCTATCTAGATACAGATACAGATACCAAATTTTTATATCTAGATACAGGATCTAGTTACTTTTATCTAGATCCTTTAACAACTCTGGTTCTAAATGATATACACACTAAAACTACGGGAATGAACGAAAGATTATTTAGGTGGCTATATTTATTTGTCTTTATGTTTTTTTGCTCTCATGATGGAGTTAATAGAAAGAGATCTGGCAGAACAATCTAAACAAGCGTAATCCCAAGCGAGGATTATAACTTAGTTTTACGAGATTAGGGTCTTCCCATCAGGTCTGGGTTCCGAAAGAATACTTGCGTATCTCACGATTCTATTGATGATCTAATTGTGGCATAGTGTTTGGATAATCAACTTTTTGAAAAACGACAGTATAGAAGATGGTGGCTCTAGTTATTGATATGGGTTTCACAGGGGACACATAATCTATATATTTAATATAATTTCGAAATTTAAATTTATATTTCGAAATCGTTTTGCAAATCTAATTAATCGGTTATTTTGAAATATAAATGTCGCCAACTGATATGGCCACCATGGTAAAAAGATGAGACAGATTGTAAGAAGAAAATTTTGATATCATGCAATTTTCTTTTCCCAGACTTGTAAAATATTTTGAACATAATAAAAATATAGAGGATTTAAATTTTGGTAAATAAAATGTAGAAGGATAATATATTATCTAATAAATCAAGCAGCTTCAACCTAAAAATAAATCTATAGATATTCTTCATAAATTTGTTTTATATTTAGAATGTCTAAGCCTCTAATTTCAGAAAGATTGAAAAATATCTCAAAACGTTCGGTGTAATAACTACACCCAATAAATAAAATTTAGTTCAAACTAAATTGATTAATCCTCTACCATTAGAATCATAAATTGGTTGATAATCCCTCATAATATTAATCTGATTAAGGCAGGAGATTAGCTAGCAAAGGGGGACATCAGGAAAAAGCTTCCAAGATTCAAAACATTTAGATTAAAATATTTTAAAACAGCCTTCGTCATTAATTAATCTTTGATTTTATGGAGTTAGTAGAGATGGTGTTAAGAATTCTCTCAGTAAAAATAGCATAATGGCCTAAAATAAAAATTTATTTTCAGAAGATAAAAATCTCATTTAAATCCCTATTTTCTTTGTATTTCTAATTTATTTTTAAAAATATTTTTATTATACTTATATTTAATACAGCTTTAGTTGACTCCAAAAAAATTGCAGAAAGTATTTAAGAACTTAAATAGTAATTAATCAAATGTTGATCAATATTTTATTAAATTATGTGATTGTTAAGTGTTCAAAGAAGAGCTTAATGAATTCGGTATTCGCATATCTTTACACTTTGATCAAGACAAGCCCATTGTTATGATCAGTAGAATAATATTAAAAAATAAATCTCCTTATTCATACTTTTTGTTTTAGTATTGTTGAAAAATCTGGGTTTAGTCTATTTAATGAGCCTAGAGATTTTGCCTTAAGAATTTGAACCTTTCTACCATCGTTTTGAAAAATCTAGTAGGTAATATTATTTTTGGCTAAATTTATCGGTTTTAATTAAAAGAAATGTAAAGTTCTCATCAAGTTCATGAATATTTAATAGTTTTTCTAATATATTTATATTTTATATATTTTGACCACTATTGTTCACTAGCACACAAATAAATGGCGTGTATTCTTCTTTAAACATTAGAAAAAATTATATCGGCAATGATACCTCCAAAATAAATTAAATGGGTTTAGTACTATTATAATTTTTGTTTTGGTGGGTGGCCATTAGTTGATTTTTTTTATTAATAATTTCATTTTATTCTTTGTGGATACTAAACTTATTAAAGCATTTACCTCTACTAACGAAGCACTAAGGAATGTTATAAGTTTCATCGTTGGTGCTTTCAATCGTTCTGCCAACTTCACACTTAAATCATGACGCCTATATAAGGCGGATAACCGAATTAATAACTGAATATAAATTTTACTAATTAAGCACTAAATAATGACGCGAACGGTATTATTTTGTTTTTTGTAAGCGCCCATGTTGTTTATTTTAGTTTTTTCTTTTAAATAATTTTTTTAAATTTTAAATGGGGTTACTAAAACTGATTATAACAAATAACCTATACTAAACAAAACACTAAGAATGTATTCATAGTTAGTGCCAATCGTTTGGTTAAAATCATGATGTCGTAATTTTTATTTAGCTTATTATTTACAACTTATAAATATATTAATCAAGTACCAAATAATTGTGCGAAAACAAGATTTTTATTGCACCTCCAGTTTTTGTTTTGGTGTACGGCCATTTTTTGGTTTATTTTGTTAATAGAAATAGTAGCGAAAACCGGATATTTATTACTAATTTGTCTTGGTGTGCCGCCATTTAATTGTTTGATTTTTGTTTATTTCTTCAACAACTTTTTTCTTATTTGGATCTACTAAAATGATCGAAACACGACCCTTTACCAATTAAGCACTATAGAATAATTTTAATTTTATCGGTTGCGCTTTCAATCGTTCGGCCAACTTCACGCCTTAATCGTGACATCATAACTTTTATTTAGCTTGCAACCTATAAGGCGGTTAACCAAGTTAATAACGGAATTTAAATTTACTAATTAAGCACTAAATAATAACAAAAAGAGTAATTATTTTCTTCTAGTAAGCTGTTTATTTTTGTTTTTTTCTTTTTATAAATTTGTTTTATTTTAATTGGAGCTACTTAACTGATTAAAGTACTAACCTCTACTAATGAAGCACCAAGGAAAAGGGGGTTAGTATCGAACTTGAACCTGGAGCTGAAAACAGTTTTTGAAGAATTTAGTGATCCCGTACCGAACCTAAACTCTTTTTAAATTAATTCCTAAGAACCCTAACAGAACCAGGGTTCAATCGGGTTCATTGAATTTTATATTTAAAATCATATAATAAGATATCTGCATAATTGTAAATACAATTATTAATAAATTTAATGAGACTTCTGACCTCCTTGAAATAATTAGACTATTTTGAAAATTAGATTGCAAGTTTTATATTGCTGCTAAATGCATTCAACCTGCGAATGCCCATTTTTAAATAATAATAATAATTAATGTAAAAATTATAAATTTTAAAATATTTTAAAATTGGAACCAGTATTACACTTTTTTAAACATCCAAAATTTTTACGTAAAGTTTATTAATTATTTACATTTTCCACCTTTAAATATAATGCTTATACAAAATGATAAATTTATATGATAGATGGTGCTAAATAATATTTAGATTAAAATTACAATTTATCATGAATTCCATCTAACACTTTAAATCCTAACTCTTTCAGCTGGAATCTCTGAAAAATCAGACCGTAGAGATGGTGCTGCCAGAATTTTGATTTCCAATGATACTATTTCACCTATTAACGCTAATATTTTTCAGCAACTTCTAGAAAAGCATTTATATTATTGAGTCCCCTTTTAACATTCATCCGCATGGCTCTTCTCCTATCCCCTTTACCTGTCATGAAGTTCTTAAGTGTTTAAAGTCCTTTAAAAAAGGGACAAAAAGTGGTTTAGACGGGTTCAGACTAGGTTTTTTTTCCTGATTTAAGCTAATGCTTTGATAGTGGTTTCAATGTCGCTTTAATAAAATCATTAACCGAACTTTGTAAAAATATCCTAATGCTCGAAGTTCCTATACGCCTTATTCTTTTTGGTGCACGTCTTGTTTCTTTAACTAAACTGGATGATGCGGTTATAGTAATTAGGATCCGGTCTAAGGCCAGTTCCTTCCTATTTCCCTCACAATTTAGTTTTTGAAGTTAGAGGTGGGTGCGAAGTGGCCTCACATGTAACGCGTATTTTTATAAACACTGATGCTGATAAGGATTTCTGCAAATTAGACTTCAGAATTGCCTTCCGCAGCACATCGGAGCTTATTTTTACTCTCTTTCTTACAAAATTTTCCAAAATATTAGAATTTCCTTAATTCCTGCTATGGATTTCCCTCGTTACTCAAATTCGGAGAGTTTTCCATTTCCTCTGAAGAGGGAATTCAGCAAGGTGATCCAATAGGTCCCTTGCTCTTTACTATAGGTGTTAAGGATTTGAACAAAAATTTAAAGCCTGATTTAAATTAGACCTAAATTTATGATATCTGGACGAGGGCTATTATGGCGGATCTTTACCCAATGTTATGTTGACCATCGAATACGTTGAAATGGAAGTTCCGAAAATTGGTATTTCCTTAATAGAAAATAAATGTGAAATATCTTCCCTCAACAATAAGGATTTTATCCCTCCCGCAGATTTAAAAAAAATTCCACACTAGGAACTTTGTCTTTTAAGTTCTCCTATCGACTTTTCAACTTCCTTTTGTCAAATTATTGTGACAATTTGATTTCAATCTCTTTTTAATTCGCTAAAGAATCTTCATCATCTTCCCAAGTATCAGTTTTTTTTCTTACCTAATTCTTGCATCCATAAGTCCTTCGAATTAAAATTTAAACATTATCAATCCCTTTTAGTCCTAAAGTTTTCTGATTTTAATTGGTCATTTGCCTCATTGCCTGATTACCAGAGAGGATTTGGATTTTCACCCCCCCCCCCAATTTAATGGCAATTGCTTGTCTTCTTTTTTCTCGAATATCCTTTACGACTCTATTTCCTCGCTTATCGAGTTGAACGATCCCTTTTTTAACTTCATCTTAACAATCTGGGCTTACTCTATTTCTCCTAGGATCCTAGAATCCCATTTTCAGCCATTTAAAGAGCTTTCTAGTTCTTCAATGTGCATGTCCCTATCTATAGTATTCAACTACTCAGAAATTCAAAATAAAATACTAAAGGCCATGAATCGGTATAGGCGATGATGAGTAAAGGAAATGTTACTCACAAACAATGGGTTTCAAATTGCCATTAACCATAGGCTAGGTTGTCTCACCCCGTCTGTTGACATCTGTGCAGCCTGCAATAAGCAAGTTGATCCATTTTCTAGACATTGTTTCTCTTGCCTCAAAATCGGTGGCCCTTTTTTACGACATGACAATCTAAATAGGTTCGGCAAATCTTTGATGTCGGTCGGTTTCCCCAATAGCATGGAGCTGTTAGGTCTTCTAAATGAGGATGGTGAACGCCCTAATGGCATGTCTTTACATCATTCTGGGTCGGCGACAAAAGACTTGTCCGAGTTGTGTCATGTGTTACCTCATTTCCCGCTAATAGAAACTACTCTTGGAACTCCAAGAAATCTAAAAAATGCGATAAACATAGGTCCCTTTTTTATCTCTCTAATATTAGTGTTTTGGGAAACCCCGGTCACCAACCCCTAAAATTTTTTAAGACAATTGGGTAAAAAAAATTTCAATAATAACGGGGATTCAAAACAAGTCCCTTTCCATCAAGCAAAAAATTTAATTTGAAATCCTAAAAGGAAATTACAAATTTAGAGTAAATAAAATTTTGATAGCATTTTAATTATTTTCATAAATGTTATAATAATTGGGATATTAAATTCATAGGGAATTTAGCGCCTTCTTAAATTATTTGCTGAAGTCCATTTATAAATATTTAAATAATCTTATTTAACCCTAAATGTACTCAAAGAAGTACAGATGATTATCTCACCCTATAAATCTCAAAACAATTTTAAACTTTTTAGTTTTTGAATATAAAAGTGTGGCTATTTTATACAAGTCAAAAGCACATTTCCAAACAAACAAAATAATCTCAATTGTGATATAAACAAATTTATAGTTATATTAGCTTTTTTTATTATATATATATAGAACAGAATGGATTAAGGGGAATATATATTTTTTTAATTGCAAATTTCAAGAATGCAAGATACGTTTATACTTCCACCTACAAAACGGTATTGATAAAAATTTTCTTTAGGTAAGCTCCACGATAAGCTATATAAGATATAGTTTTCGTATGTGCCCAAGAGTGTGTGGTTCGAATTATCTATTCGTAACGATACCAAGTTATTGGATATTGTTAATGTAATCTATGGATATAATATTCGATAAAAAAGAATAAAATAATATTAATTCATTATCCTTTAGCTATCATATTTTTCCATTCCTTCCCTTCCATTTCCTTTCCCTAAAATTTTTGCCTTTACATTTACGTTTCTGAATTCCATACACATATATTGTACTGTACTCTGTAATGGCATCATACACAAAACGATCGTTGCACCAATGCTTTCTAAACTGATTTCCATCTAAAAAAAGAGTATTATTATTATAATGTTGGAACCAATTAAAGCACCTTAGCTTCGATTATCAATGTTCTGTTGAGTGCATTTAATCTAAATAAGTTAAATAATTGAATCTTCTCATATAGAATTAAAGTTTTATTGTTGGTATACTCCGTTGAATGACTTTCAAATCCCATTTCACCACCTTGGATGAGAGCTTTTATTGTATTATTGCTCGCTCTACTAAGATACAGTTGTGAAAACCTTTGTTTAAGATATAAAATATAATATTAATAATTTTATATCATTTATAATGTTTAATATAATCCATAAGTTATGACGGCATAATGGGGTTATTCGGAATCTTCACGTGAAGATTGGAGATCTAGATCTCATGATTTTGTAGAATCTATAAATTATATATCTACGTATTTTCGATATAAATAAATGCTACAGAAATTTAAAAAAAGTCATAATTAGTTTATTATTTTTTAAAAAAAATTATTTTATCATGTAGAAGCTTAAAATAAAATAAATCTTTTAAATATTTTCTCCCATCATAAACTAACTATTATAGTAAATACTTTTTTAAATATTTTTTATTATTATTGTTGGATTAAATTAGAATATAAAATCTTATGGTTGAGTTTGGAAAATACCTTATAGAATAAAAGGTCATCAGAATTAGTGTTGTTAAAAGGCTCGTTTTGAGCTGATTTTTTAAAAAGGTCTAACTCAATATTTCATCTAGAATAATATTGTGCAAGCCTGAAAATTTTGTTTGTGAAGAAACAAAGGTTTGGACATCTATTAGCGAAATCTCGAGGCTTACTCAATGCCGTTTAACAACACTAACCAGAATATTCCAGTTTTTGAGACTATTTATTGAGGAAATTTTATAAATCCGATTAAAAGAGTCCCATGTCTGCAATTCATAAGAAAGGTATTCTAAAGATGCTAGATTACATTTCAGGTAAGATCAGATTTTTAAAATTTAAAAAGACGCCCTCAAGAAATGATTCAAAATTGAATATAACGCACTCCCCGGAAAAAACCCATTGACCCTAAATATATATAAGAAATGACCTCTCTACCATAACTATGATGCCTAAGATAATAATGACTAAAAAATAATTAAGTTATAATGACAAATTCTTAAGAATCTCCTTATACCCCTATCCACTAAACAGAAACAAATTTTATATTATCGAAGAGAAATCTTGGTATAGAAAAAATTTAAAAAAAAAACGCCTTGATGGACTAGTTTACAATAAATTTATAAATTTGAAAATAGTGTTGTTAAACGGCTCGTTTTGAGCCGATTTTTACAAACGGCTAATTCAATACTTCATCCAATTACCCAAGTCTGAAGATTACTGATGATAGAAGGTACAAATGACCAGACATATATTGTCGAAATCTTGAGACTTAGGCAATATTTTTCTGACTAAAATGTTGAGTTAGCCGTTTTTAAAAATCGACTCAAAACGAGCCGTTTAACAAGACTATTTGAAAGAAATATTTATAAAATCTAATTTCTCACTCTAATATATCTTTAGTCAAAAATATATCGAATAGATTAGGATAATGATCACGATGTTGCTGCCAACATAAATGTTTGTATTCTGCCGGTATAACTAAAAAAAAGAAATGTTTAATTTTTTTACAACGATCAGTATTTCTTTATATATATATTTTTCTATTTAGTGAAAATTTTAATAACAAGAACTTAATCGAAACCGAATTCCCTAAGAGAGGTCCGAACTCACCCCAGGTCCAGACTATCCCAGGTTCGTGTCCTTAAATCGATCTTTGTTTGGTCTGTGGTCCTAAAATGCCCAGCCAAATTAATTTAAATTCCTGAAAACGGGTTCGGGTTCACACCCTTTGTTAAATATTAGTAAATGTATATCAAATAGCCATTTTGTTAGACCAATGTGGTCTCGTTCATTGATAGTATAAACAGAGATAGCTGCCCTTTATTATGTTTATAGCCCAGCTTCTGACGCAGGCCGCGTCTATATGAAGAGGCGAACGTTGCTAAAGTTGATATATATAGTAAACAATATGACATTCATTCATACCTACATTTTACCTTAATAAGCATAATTTTTTTAATAATTTTATAATATTACAAGATTGCAATTATCACAAGCCAGTTAACTTATTTCAACAAAATTATATTTCTTATCTGAACTTGAAAAAAAAAATTCAACACAAGATATATTTATGCACAGCACAAATATTTTCAATATAACTTACTAATTTTTTTTAATTATTTATTAATTTTTATTTCTTGTTTTTTTCTTCTTCTTTTAAATTTCTTACCAAAGTCAACTTAGAATAATTATTCAATCCACAAATGGGTCCACACTAAATATTCTAAAGCCAACAAATAATAATTCACTATCAAGATAATCTTATATAACATTTGACATATCCAAAACATCAATACGATCAATTTATTTTTTCTCTCTCCTCAAATAAGCTTACTTATCAATCACCGGTTCCATCATCAGCTTTCATCAATTATATTGAATAAGCAATGTCATCGCAAAGACTACAGAATAATACGTTAGTTAATTCAGCATTTAAATTAATTAAACCTTTATTAGATTACATTACAATATGTCAACATAATGTGATAATAATTTTTTTTAGGGCTGGGAAGGAAGACCTTAATTTTTCAGAAGTTGCAAAATTCAGCATTGCACCTAGAAAAGTTAACTTTAAATTACACTAAAATTCTGTGTTGTTAAACGGTTCGTTTTGAGTCAATTAAGCGGCTGACTCAATATTTTATCCAGAAAAATATTATGCAAGCCTGAAAATTTTGCTCATAGAAGGAATATAGGTCTAGACATATATTATCGAGATCTTGAGGCATAGGCAATATTTTTCTGGCTAAAATATTGAGTTAGCCATTTAATAACACTATTAAAATTATTTTATCCCATTAAAATGTAATCATAATCGTAAATTTCCAAGCAATTTTTTTTATAGATAATAAATGGAATTAAGCTTACTTTATAGGTAATATAGTATTATGATTTAGAAATATAATAAAGAAAAAAAATAATAATTTAAAATTAATAATAATGGGCCATTTTGCGGATTGAATTTTATAGAGTTATGTATTTTTAATTTTATATAAAAATTACATTAAAGGATTACTTTTTAAATATATTTAAAAAAAAATATACAATTATTAATTCTAATTAATTTATTATTGAATGAATTGAATAATTTAATTTTTTATAACTTGTTTATATCATAAGTTAAATTCTTAATAAAATAAATCTAAATTCATTTAATATATTAGTTTTAATTAAGAGCAATTAAATTGCTTACCTAGTAGATTATAGCTAGCTTATAAAAAATAAAAATATTAATTTTTATGGATATTGAAGAAAATTTAGCATATTAATAAAGGGTAAGATTTTATCAATTCTGTGGCCCAAGTTATTTCAAAAGATTTTATTGAAAGATGATTCCATTCCATCAATATTTACTTTCTAAGCCTCTTCATCGATGTATTATTTAAAAAAATAAACTTTTAAGACAAATATTATTTTAACATATCAAATAATTATCTGATCCTTATTAACCACATGATAGAAACCAAAGTTGTCACAATATTGTTTTCAAGATATATAAATAAAATTTCCTATTTAATTAAAGGATGTATGTGGGAACCTAATATCCATATTTTATTTAAAAATTTGAATTTGTTTGAACTCCCGTGCTTAGAAAATTGAGATCAATGACAAAATATCAGTCAAAATTGTTTTTTAAAAAAACGAATTAAGATGGATTCCTATTATGATATAATATAACCGGTTGGAGCCATCTTTCAAAATTATTTTCACTCATATTATAAAATTATAATACATAATTTATGGATTGTAAAATAGATCATAAGGGGACAATTTTCTTAAAATTGAAAATATATCAAAAAAAGAACAAAAATAAATTTTGATATTTACTACATATCAATCAACTGTAAACAATTTTCGCAGGTGTGCCATGAATACCTTTTATTGTATGTGGAACGAAAATTTAAAGACTTTATTCTTCTTGAAAGAACCAGAAAATGTTGCCCTTAATTTTGCAAGAAATCAAGTGGGTTCTATCAGTTGGGAGAAAAGATTGACAGCTGTTTTATATAAGAAACTAATTTATAGTAATTCCTTAGAATTAAACATGGAATATATGATTCCACGGGCAGAATTCCAATATGATAATTTTCCGTATAAAAATAATTATTATTTTATACAATTCGTTAGTTATATTTATGTGCTTATTCAGATAGATGGCAAATTGAAAAGATCATACTAATCGTATTCCATGATAATTCGTAGTTATCTGCTTCGGGCCTAATTTATCAAGCCCGGTCCGCCTCAACATTTTTTTACAGGCTGAGTACGGGCTGGGCCTACTTTTGCAGATCTCTAATTATTATTTAAAGAAAGATCTATGGGCAGAATGGGGTATGTTTTGGTCGGGAAATGTTTATATATTATTTGTTGGATCAATCACGTGGTCTCGTTCATTGATAGTATAAACTGAGATAGTTGCTCGTTATTATGTTTTAGCCCAGCTTCTGAGACAGCGTCTACATGAACGGAGGGAGAAGAGAGGGGTAGAAACATTTTGCATCCATTTTTTATTGAGGAGGGGGGGGGGGTGTAGTGGGTAGGCGCCATTAAGGGGGGATGTTAGGGGTTATCTATTAAATTTTTATAGGATAATATTGATTTATATAATAACATGATATTGCTGATCATCGACCAAGTTTATATATTGCAAACAATCATAGACATTATTTTCCAAATAAAACTTTCTGCTATTCTTTTAAATGTAAAATAATTTAAGTTTTTCTTTTTAAAATTTATGAAAGGAGTATAAGGTTAATTAAATGGTAAAACATCGTCGCCGAAAGCGACGCGTTTTTTTAGGGGGGTACCCATATGTTTTTGAGGTAGAAGGGGAGGGTTTACATCCAGTGAAAATCCTGTCTTGTAGACGCTGGATACAGGGATTAACCATCGTTGAGATCCTCGGTTCTATCAGAGATCCGGAGCCCCAACTCTTTATAAAAGGAGGGCGTGAGAGCCAAACAATGTTAAAGTGGATATAACAATATGACAGTCATTCATACCTACATTTTACCTCCACGAGTAGAAAGAAAATAATTATAATATTACAAGATTACAATCATTACAATCCAGTAATCTATATGCATTTCAACAAAAATTATGTTTCTTATCCGAATTTGAAAATAAAAATACACTTGCACAATTTTAATCATTTGTTAATTGCTTATTTGTAGTTAATACACTTAGAATAATTAGTATTCAATCCATAAATAGGTGCACATTAGATACTCTAAAGCTTAAAAAATAATATAATTCACTATCAAGGTAATCTTATATTACTTTTGACATATCCAAAACATCAATGCAATCAATTTTATTTTTCTCCTCAAACAGGTTTACTTATCAATCATTGATTCTATCATCAAATTTCATCATGATTGAAAATGTAAAATCACGCTCTTCATTACGATGACTACAGAATAATACGCGAGTTAATTCAGCATTAAATGAATTATGCCTTTATTAGATTACTTTATAAAGACATTAGTTTTCAGAATTTGTAAAAAAAAAATCAACAGCATGGTTCCTAGAAGAGCTACCGTAAATTAGACTAAAATTTTCGCATTTTTAAACGGTTCGTTTTGAGCCGCTTTTTAAAAACGGCTGACTTACTATTTTATCCAGAAAAATATTACTCATGCCTGAAGATTTTCCTCGAAGGAACAAACGTTTTAGACATATTATCATAATATCGAGTACTTTTCTGGCTAAAAGATTGAGTTAGCAATCAGCTTAAAATGGAGCTGTATAAACACTACTAAAATTATTAATCATAATCGTAATTCGTATCCGAGAAATTTTTTTTTATAGATAATGGAATTAAAGTATACTTTTTACTTTCAGGTAATAATGTGATATGATTATAGAAATTATAATTACAAAAAAAAAATTAATAATAATTTTAAAATTTATAATAAAATGAGCCATCTTGCGGATTGAATTTTATAGAGTTATATATTTTTATAACCTTAAATATAAAATAATATTTATATATATTTATAATTATACCTGATTTTGTGGATATAGCAAAAATCTTATTAAACTTTGCCTTTATTCCAGCGAATTTTTTTTTTGATTTCATCATAACTAAGATAATATCTCTTACCAATCTCCTCCCATTTGATTTTGCTACCAGCAGTGTCTCTGTATTTAAGGTCACTAATACACCACAAATATCTATAAGGTCTAATAGTTTCCATTAATTGAAATTCGTTAGCCATTTTTATTCCCTCAATTCGCAAAAGTTTGAGGAAAAAATGATTAAATTTTTACGAATCGTATAATTTTTAAGAATCACATGATATGCGCAAAATCTAAAAAATCATTTAGGCCAACATTTTAATTTACCATTAAAAATAGCTTATATTATTTTTTTCGTTAGATTGGCGCAAATTGCGCGAGATAATTTTTATGCAATTTTTGATATTTAGGATACAGCCTAAAGTGATTTAAAACTAATGGACAAGCGTAATAATATGGAAAGAATTGAGGACGATAGTATTGAATAAATACGGAAGATTGATGGTTAAGAATATAAAATCAATCGTGGAATATGGAATCCGTGAGGATTAGGAATATCTCAATAGAGCAAAACTAATTTTACAATGTGTAGTATATATTAAATAAAGTTCTTTATTTTCCAAAAAGATAAAAAAAAAAGGTTTTATTTTTAATAATAATCTTGGTGTATATATATATACAAAATTAACATCAATTTACGGAATACGGAATAAAGCGCATACGCCCTCTCTACGTTGTAGTTACAACAGAGCTACGCTAGGTTTTCCTCATTTCCATCTAATTGGAAGATTTAAGTTAAGTGTAAAGTAAAATATGAGGAGCCCTTCACACGTTTGTGGGCAAGCCGCACGTACTTGTACGCATAATAGTTCGTGCACTATTATTTAAACGTCTGTGGGCTGGAACAGATAAGGGAGGACCAAGAGAACAGCCCACACCCAAAACCTACGGCCCTATTGTATTTAAAAGTAAAGTGGACGGTGACATCAATTTAATATTAAATATAAATCTTTCTATATAACGTTTAAACATCAATTTAATATTAAATAAATATCATATAATATAACGTTCCTAGCCTTAAGTCTTCTACAATAAAAAAAATCCATTAATATAATTGTTAATTATATGTATCAAAAACCATCCATTGATTAAAGAAAACACAGTTATTAATCTAATTAATTTAATTTATTGAATAATTTAATTTTTATAATCTGTTATATATCAAATGTAAATTTCTTAAATAAAATGAATCTAAATTAAATTAATAGAATATACATTGAAGCGATTTAGAAATCGAATAAAGCGAAATTAAAATAATTTAAAGCAAAATTAATAAATAATATTGAAAATGTATTAAATAATATATATCTTTAAATATACATAATTTTTACACCTATTAAAATTATTCTTTCTTCAATTTTTGATTCAGCCTTTAAGACGTAGGCATAAAAATCTTTTTTTTCAAAAAAAGCTATTTGCAATCTTGCAAAATAACCTTTAATATTTTATTTCTTTTATTCAAAATTAAATATTTAACGTTTTAAGAACAACTTTTAAGATTATAGTTTTCTAAAATATTATTAAAAAATTTTTTTTTTCAATTTTTGCTCAATTATTATTATGTAATAAAACATTTTATTTTTAGTTGTTTAAAAAATTATTACATTCGATTTAATATTTAAAAAAATAACAAAAAAAACGTTTGCGCATGCGCCTCTCACCTACTTTAACCAAGCATTTGCAGCTTACCTTTTGCCATTTATAGTTTACCATATATGTATATTTGCAGTTTAAGTCAAGCCCATAATATTTTATATCATCACACAAAAGTAGTTTTGCTAAATGAAGTCAATATTTTAGCTAGAAAAATATGGCCTATTCCTCGAGATTTCGCTAATTGATGTCTAAAACCTTTGTGCCGTCTATGAGAAAAATCTTCAGGGTTGCGTAATATTATTGGGGACAAAATATCAGAGTTGTTAAAAGATACTTTTTAAATGGATCTAGATACAGATACATCGTCTAAAATAATATCTAGATACAGATATTTTAATCAAAAAATCTATCTAGATACAGATACCATATTTTTATATCAAGATACAGGATGTAGATACAAGTATCTAGATCCTTTAACAACTCTGCAAAATATTGAGTTAGCACTTTTTAAAAATCGGCTCAAATCGAGCCGTTTAACAACACTACACAAAAGTTACTTACTATGATAACATTTTTTCAAATTTTATTAAGTAACAACAGTGATATAAATATTTATGAACAATTACATTAACAAAAAAAATTTATAAATTTAAAGAAATTATTTTAACATATATTTTAAAACCTAGTTATCTGTTAATTTGCAAGCGTATAAGGCAAAAATAAACATCTAAGTATACGCTGTCTAAATAAATTTGTATTAAGAGCTATGATCCCTTCAAATCTTTCAAAGATTATACAAGTAGTCTAGGCAAAGATTCATGTCCCAATAAGCAAAAAAGACTAGTATTTTTTATCAATTTAAACATCACATATGTGTTATTTAAACAGCTCGTTTTGAGCCGATTTTTTTAAAAAAATGGCTTGCTCAAATATTTCGTTCAGAAAAATATTACGCAAGCTCGAAGATTTTGGATTTTGCTCATAAGAAGGAACAAAAGGTCTAATATATTATCGAAATTTCGAGGGTTAGGGCAATATTTTTCTGGGCTTAAATATTGAGTTAGCCGTTTTAAAAAGTCGGCTCACCGTTTAACAACACTATCTAAATCTTGTAAATGAAAATTTTTTTAAACGTTATCAAGACCTCGTAACTGATCAAAAAAGCATATTATTTAAATAAAAAAAAATTTAAATGGTATTGGGGGGTCGCATCGAAAAGAATCTTTTGTCTCTCCTGAATAATTCCCTAAAAAATGCTACTTACTATTTCAGTGGTTAACGAACATACATGATTTGGAATTGAAGAATGTATAAAGTGATTGTTTTTTTAACAGACTTTCTTCCTTTAACTCCATAAAACTTTTATACATATTTGTCGGTTCTAGGATTGGAGTGCTCCCCACTCGACATTTTTTAAATTTTTGAGTTAGAAGGGGATAGTAACTTATTTATTCTCCCAATATATAATTAAAAATATTAATCTTTTTACCACTAAGTTATATATATAGCTTCTGTCAAAATTGATCAATAAGCCATTCCTATATTTTGATTTTTAAAATTTAACGTAGATTTTCTCGTTTTAAACATTTTTTCCGCAAAGTGGAGCACCTCTAATTCCTAGGTCCGACGATATATTATTATTAAATTATTTATATACCTATTCGATCGGCTTTGGCACAAATCAAGATACAAGCGAATAAAATGAATAGCATTTTTTTTAGGAATTATAATAGAAAGGGCTTGCTTAGTTTAATTTTTTTTTAAAATTATTTATCTTATAGGTCATTTTTTTAAAAATAGATTTATTAAATTATCTAAAATATATATTAAAATTAACCTTCATTGTAAAAGAAAATATAATTTATATAGAAAGAAAAATATCCGACAATGATTAAATTTTATATTATTTTTTGGTAAATTTCGAAACAAAAAACCTTGAATTAGATATTATAAAAATATAAATAAAAGGAAAAAGTTAAAGATAAAAACCATTGCTATCAATGAAATTTTTTTTTAATTTATAAGCCAATTAATATAAACAGACTCTTAGTGAGGAAAAAATTGATCGAGATAACGTGCTTAATTAAACCCCCTTTACTAACTTATAAACCCACAAAACAGTTATTTTTACCCCTCCCTATCTTTATATATTTTAACCCCCCTATCTCCCTCTAAGAAAAAAATTATGTGGAAGGGAATTTCTCATAATTCTTCCCTCCCCCTTCCCACTTCCCCTCGATTATTTTATTTCGACATAAATTTTAAGGGCGAGGATTCAGAATCTTTTGCCAAGTTTTATCTTTAATCAGTAAGTCCATTGGTAGGCAAGATTATTGGAGTAAAAAGACCCGCGACGCGAGCGTAATCCTAAGCTCTGCCAGGGCGAACCGGGCCACCAGGGCGGGGCTTAAAAATTGTTTTTTAAAATAAAATACCCGGGTCCGGATGAATATTTTGAAACCAAATATTTTTAATGGCCATTATTAACTATAAAAAAAAATTAAGAAGAAATGTAATTTATTTTTAAAAGAAAAGTCCTGGCCAGGCCCTGCAATAGTAACTCTGCAGGTCTCTGATTACATTCGAGAAAAACCCAAAGATGTAAGTTTCAAAAATTGAAATGGCAGCATGATATCAATAAATTGAGATTCGGAATTCTAAGTGTTTGTGAATGACACTTCCGATCTAATCATTAATTATTTTGAAAAATCATAATTGGCATTTGGTAAATAATTTGAAATTCGAGAGATTATAAATATTACGAGATTGATGATTACACATTATAGAATGCTAACATTATATGTACACTCTTCTGATGAGTCAGGCAAACTTAAAGAATTTGAATATTGAGTCTTCATATTATTATTGAACTTTTCCTTATACTATATACGTTCTCAAAAATTAGCTAAAGCAATAGATGGATGATCTCTTTAATAATTGACATAATTTGATAGAATAGTCGTCTCTGTTAAAGGTGAACATTTTAAATTCATACTCATCTGGCTTTCATGTTTATCACATTCATATACACTGTAGATTTAATATTGTCTATATTGAGCCGCAGAAGATGTATTCCTGATATACAACGATTCAACAAACCTGTATCTGAACTCTATATGGAGGGTAATTTTTTATATATAGTGCGGTAATATATAAATGAAACCGATAAGAACTGGTAAAAGGGTTTATGATTCTCTAATAATTATTATATTTGCTCTTTATTCTAAAGTCTTTATAATAGTATATCTTAAATGCAATTCATTGATGCAATTATAAAATTCTTGTAAATTTATTTGCTTTTATTGAGATCAATATTTATTTTTCAATTTTATTTATATAATATTAATTGATGTGTTCCAGCTTTGGCTTGAATCTAGGAAAATAATTCCCCGGACAAAAAAATCCTCCGGAATTTAATTCCCCGGAAAAAAAATCCCCTGGAAAAAAATTATCAGAAAAAGATTCCCGGAAGATTACTCACTGGAAAAAAAATCCCATGAGAAATAAATTCGCTTGGAAATAATTCCTGGGGAGAAAATTTCCCCGGAAAATAATTCCTCATTTTTTTTTGATCCTATAAAACATTAAATTATTTTTTATAAAATTAACAAAATAGGAAAAAAAAAAATCTCCAAATAAAATATTTAAAATTTTTTTGAGAAAATCAAACAAAATAAAAAAAAAAAATTCCTGTAAAATTTTTCCCAAATAAAAATTCCCCGTAATAAAATTGGTAAAACAAAATTATGAATAATAATAAGAAGTGACCTAAGCAAAATTTTAAATTATTATTAATTTAACCCTAGTCAATATAATGTATAATGTTATGGTCTTATCCCGACCCCAGGTTTGGTAAAAATTTTACACAAAACAATATTTGTAAAAGTAAACGAAATTGGAAACCTTGTCTCTGTCATATTAAGCAAAATATTATTGTAAGCTAAGATAATGATAAATCCCAGAATTTTTTTATTTTGGCCCTGATATATAAATTCATTATATTTTTTGACCCCGATTTTCACTACTTTTAAATTAAATCAAAAATTTTTTTTTTTTTAAATTCAAATTCCATCGAACATTTGTGTTTTTAAAATGATAAAACGAAACTCATAAATAAATCTAGTTTCGAAAATATTTACTTTTTTACACAAATAATTAATCATTCTTATATCCATTTGAAGTTTTTAGAAATATATTAAGAATTTAAATCAGGTTGGAGGAGATAATAGGCTTTTCTCAAATAATTTGGGCTTGACTAAACTGCAAATGCTTAGGTAAAATATTTTTCATTTATACTCTATTATGATATTAAATAACTTTTAAAAAATTAAATTTTCATATATATTCATTTTAAATTTCGATGATATTGATCGGCAAGGTGGCGTTATTATTTTAAAATTATTTTTTTTTGGTTTAATTAATAGATTTTAAAATGTATTATAATTATATAATACATTTTAAAATCATAAACGCCAACTTGCGGTTAATAATATTGAACTTGTAATTGTAATTATTTTTAAAAGCAACTAATAGTTTATACTTTAGATTCCTTTATTATTATATATATATGTAATAATTTAATTTATGAATTATTTATATCTGTTAAGGTAGGCAGGGAGTAAAGAAGACAAAAATTATAAAATTTTTATGAAATTTATTTTAATTTTATATATTTAAAAATTTTAATTCATGAAACTAATAAATTTTACCTCTATATATATACTTTACAAAATTCAATTTAACAATTAACTTAATCGGTTAAATAAAATAAATTTTTTTTTATATTATAAAATAAACATCTATTATTATATATATAAAAGCCTTGTCACAAAAATCATGTCACACTTTTCATATCACACTTTATAACATATATTCAAAAAATCGTTAATTTTGAAAAGTGCCTATGGTCCAATCTGGCAAGACTGCTTACAATTCCAGATGGATTATTGGACTTGGGTTCGAACCCTAATGTTTTTTTTTTCTTAATCTGACAAAATTAATCAAATAGATACGATTCAAAGTTTGTAGCTACTTTAAAATTCAAACTATTTTCCTGCACAAGATAATTAAATACATTTAGAACTGTTGTGAATATACTTTTTGAACTAATTTTTATTATTTATAATAATCTAATTTTTAGTATTTGTTATAATCTAATTTTATTTTATAAACGGCGTAACCTTACTTTTATATATTTTATTTTACTTTTTTGTATTTCGTTTATATTCTAATTTGGACTTATAAAAAATGTATATAAACGAAGAGTGTGAAATGAAAAAGTTAGTTAATAAAATATATTTTTACTGACTCGCATCTCGCGCTATATTGTTAGAATCCTTTTTTACTTTTTTGTATTTCGTTTATATTCTAATTTGGACTTATAAAAAATGTATATAAACGAAGAGTGTGAAATGAAAAAGTTAGTTAATAAAATATATTTTTACTGACTCGCACCTCGCGCTATATTGTTAGAATCCTTATTCTTTGCAAGAACTTTATATGCATCAAGTACCAATTCAAGTACGAGATATTTAAATACTTTTTTAATTCTTGAATTTATGTATAATTTAAAATTTAAACCATTATACGGGGAATCAGAATTTTCTCTTTTATTTTATGAGGGACGAATCAGAAATTTTCCTATCTTATGAGGTGTTATTTAAAATTTTATATTTATTTGGGGTTATTCTAAAATTTTCCATTATTTTTATAAAATATGTTAATAAAGTATATATTTAGTAATTTTAATTTTATAATCTAAAAATTTATTATTGCTTGATGAGAGTTTTATGTTAAAACCCTTAAGAAGGATCCATTTCACATTGAATTTTATACAACTTTATATCTCTTAATTAGGTAATTTTTATGCAAAAGTAAATATTTGCATCTCTTTTATCTTTTCTGAAATTGGCCTTTCTACATGCATTCCATAGTTTTGTATATTTTCTCATAACTTCATAATTTAATTGTGGAATGTAAATTCATAACTTTTTATAACATTTTTGATTAAATGTATAACTTTTTTGTTTTACTTATATATAATTTGACTATGATTAAAGTTAACCTCCTATTATTTGTTAATTTAGAATATCTTTTTATTTTTTCTATTGTAATTTAATAACAATGTCTTAAATTTAAATTTATATTAACTAACTAATAAATCATTTGGAAGGGTGGTGGTTTGTTTAAAATTTAAATTAGGATGAACATATTTTTAGCAAGGTACTTTAATATGTATTCATGATTTTCATATAAATACTAGGAGCTAACTAATAGAATGATAGGTAAATCAGATATTTCCCCTTCATTTGATCCTAATTTTAAATTAGGATGAACATATTTTTAGCATGGTACTTTAATATGTATTCATGATTTTCATATAAATACTAGGAGCTAACCAGTAGAATGATAGGTAAATCAGATATTTCCCCTTCCTTTGATCCTAATTTTGAAAAATTTTCTCAATAATATAAATGGCAAAAAAATTATATACATATTAGACAGATTTAATTCTTATCCCCTACAACACCTATTTTTCTTGATCCAAGGAAAAAATAAATTATTCTGAGTTTTCTTGGGTTTGGGAAATATTTTTCGCAATTAATATGAGCTTGGAAGTAGCTTGGGAAACATTTTTAAAATTAATATAGTCTTAGATTCCTGAAAATTTTTTAATTTTAAATATGGGTTAGAAATTGGCCTGAAAATTTCTTTTGGAGACATGGCCAGGCCTGATCAAATACCAAGGCCCATGCAACTTTCATATTCTGATTGTATTTTTAAATGCATTGTGACTTTTTATATATTTTATTTCAGTTCTCAACTATCAAAATTATTATGGTCTTTTTGAGAAAATTTTCCCAAGTGCGAGGACCT